TGATGTGTTGATTATACATATGTTTGTGTTAAATAGTTGTGTGAGTTCCAATTATCGTAATTGTTGGTTAATCTTGTTTGTGTCCGGACATTCCACAAATTACAATCGTCAACGTGAGAAGGATTGCAGGCGTACTGGTGTAAGTCCTGCGATTCTTCAAAGGAATTCCATCGAGACACGATCTGTGAGTTTGTGTGCACTGATTGTATATATGTGTGGTGTGTCATAACAATTGGCGATTTTGGATCCATTGTGTTTACTCGTTGTTTTCGTACCTTGTTTTTATTGCATAATTTTGTTAAAATTTTCGTCGTGCTTACTTCTGAAGTTGTTTCGAGTCTTCTACATCCGTGAATGAATTGATCGATGTTACAGACAGCAGATGGGTCGTATACGCCGGGGAGGCTAGGCTATTGCTGAGAATGAAATGCATACGGAGATAATTGTTAGCTGTGGTCCCACACGCCGGGGAGAAAGAGTGTAGATGACTGAGGCTCGCATACATCACCGTTACTAGAACTGAGGCAGAATGAGTGACAAGCGATTGCAGTGGTAATTGCTAGTGAGTAGATAAGAGGATGTGCGTAGAGTATCGTGAGCTGGTGCTATGGTCACGTCGCATTCTACAAGAGTCATTCTAGTAAGTGGCGATTGTGTCGCAAGATGTCAAGAGGATACCTTTAACTGGAGGCGCAGGTCGTCATTGGTGTGTGAGATTGTGCTGTGGGTATGCTTGTGGTGTGTTGGCTTTTCTGTTTGTTTTCCATTTCAGCTCTGTCCGTGTGACCCAGGTTCTCGCAATGGCATCCAAGTCAACGTGTATTGGTTGTGATGGAAAGAAGGGATGTATCCCTTTTTTGCCGGGGAGTGTCAATGTAGTTTAAGATTGAACGATCAATTCATGGTTGTTTGCTCAAAACCAACTTCCCCAATTTTCGCGGAGGCATCAATACGACAGTCATCGTCTCATCGGTCGCTGTTCAAAAAGAAGTCAGGAGACAACTGTCAGAAACCCTAGTTAAAACTTAATTTAAAGCTGCCTATATGTTGGTGTTACAATAAAGAATTCTCGAGTAGCCAATCGGTGTTTTGGTTTTGCGTCCGTTATTACTAAGCGTTTCTGAGAAACTTCAAGGAACCGCGTGAGTCCCAGTGTAGCAAGAGCTGGGAATTGACGGTTTACGAGACGTGGCTTACAAGCTACATTTGATACGTCTCACGCTTCTCTTGTGGCGGCTACTTGGTTCACTAGAAATTGATCGTGGTCTGCTTAACTAGTTGGGAGTTTGGTAAATAATTAGCTCAGATATTAGCGAGCTGCCGGTGTACCATGTCAGAACGAGTGACAGCAAATTATCTGATGAATTCACTTGAAAAAGAACTGAGTATACTGAAGATGCGTGTAGGTGGAGCTTTAACAGCCGTCTTTTACTTCAGCATCTTATTGGATACTACAACATTAGAGCGTGGCTTAAGTCCATTTATGACGGAAAAATGGGCACAAATGTGAATTACACGGGATATGTAGCGAGAGAATATGTGGTCATACACTAACGCATAGACAGGTGCATTCACTCGTGAGCTCTTTCTTAAATTGTACAGAACATACATCATGCCACAACTTGCTCAGTACCACTGCGCTCTCACTGCTTAGAAGGCACGCGATCCTTTGGGAAAAAGTCAAAAGGGGTGATGTGTCTCTGGAAGAAACAATGTGATTAACGGCTAAAGAAATTAGCCTTACTCACATTTGGCCACCAGCGGCTTAAGTATGACTTAACTTCTGCCTAAAGGATTATAAATGACCACAATCAATCAAACAAAGGTGTTCTTCCATTGAGCAAATAAGGGCTTCATCGTGCAAACATAACATAACATAACAATTTCGCTTTATTCCAGAAACAGTACTTGTGGTACAGTGTGGAATTTTCAGCACATATCTACAATATTGCATCTAATTTCATCGTACATTTAAAAGGAGTATTATAAAAAAAAATAAAAAATATAATAAAAAAAAAAAAAAGAAAGAAATAACCAAAAAAAATGCAAATAAAAATACTGAGTAAAAAAAGAAGATCAACACAAATAATGAAAAAAAATATTTCAGTATTAGTTAGTGGAAGCTACGATATGTGTATGCGTGGTGAACAGTAACAGCTATAATCATACGGGAAATTATGAGATGTTCTTAAAAAAATGTTTATAGCCAAGATGATCAGTTAATTTGATTGAACAACACTAAGCAATCATAAGATAAACATTTCAGGTTTTTTTTTTGTCAGTACTAATGCGGTTGTTTGTAGTGGCAGTGTGAGGAATCATGCATAATACAAAATTTTTAAGATGGTGATAGTGGCAATAACAAACAAGATTGTCAGTTAAATAGTGCCGAACAAAGAACAACCACAAAACTAATGTTACATGATGGTTAATGACGGGACAATTTTTAATAATCATAGTGATAATATAGTCGGACCCAGTAGATGTACAAAGAAGGAATAGAATAAAGAATAAAAATGTAAGCCAATGATAATAATTTTAAGCAGCTAAGTATGTTTAAGAAGGTTGTTCACTATAGAGTACAAATAAGAGAGTGTAAGGGGGAAAAAAACAAGGGCCAAAATTATGTTATTAACAACAAAGCAAGTCATAGGTTTCACGCCTAACATTGTCTCTGTCACTTAGAACACGGGCCAAATATGGTATCGTTGAGTTCCTATACTTGGTTGTGCGAGCATATATTATTTTATACTGATTTCTGGTTCTACCTGATGAGATGCAGGGAGAGAGTTGGGAATAGAGGGGGTGTTGGGGGTCAGAGAGTATGGTTTTAGACCATTTCTCACATGTATTCAGATGCTTATCCACTAATGTTGTGACGAGCTGACTGAGTTTTACACCGCTAGTCCTGCTAACTACCTTCAACATCCTTCTCAGGATGGTATAATCCTTTTTCAGTAACCCAGGAAAGACTAACGGGGAACAGTAAAGTAGAATAGGTAGGATACGAGAGTTGACAAATTGTGTAAGCAGAGGTTGAGGGACTCCAGTTAGTCTGAGTTTCTTAATGTAGTAGGTTAGACGAAACACTTTCTTGGAAATCATTTGGATATGAGATGACCAAGTAAGGTCGGAAGATATAACTAATCCGAGGTATTTTGCATTAGACTTTGTTTCAATTATAGTCCCCTCGATTCTACAGACATCATGAGTGCTTACTAGTGTTTGTAGATCTCGTTTATGCCTAAAGGAGAAGTCGACAGTCTGGCATTTTGAGGGATTCAGCGTTAGGCCATTTATTTTAGACCACTGACTGATGTCCGACAGGAAGCTATTTAATTTGAAGCAGTCTGACTGAGACTTAACGGGAAGCGAAACAGTCAGGTCATCTGCATATTTGACGAAGTTGATTTCGTCTGAGAGAGGTAAGTCATGTAAGAAGAAGGAAAAGAGAAACGGCGAGAGAACAGCACCCTGAGGAACACCAGCTTCAGTAAGCAAAGGAGAGGAAGCTACACCATTATATACCGTGTACTGCATCCTATTGGAGAAGTAAGAGTGCAGCCAGTTGATAGCCCAGGACTCAGTTTGTGTAAGGCTAAGCTTGTTTAACAAAAGGCCTCTAGGTACAGAGTCAAAAGCAGATGTGTAATCAAGGAAAGTACAACGGACATACTTGGCCCCTTTGTCTAAGGAGGATACAATGTTGTGATGAAACACAGCAGCAGCATCCAAAGTACTTCTACCCTGTTTGTAAGCAAACTGCTTTGGATCATTTGAGAAGCTTAGGGAGGGAATGAGTTTTTGTAAGAGTAATTTCTCCATCAGTTTCAAGAAAGGAGAGGTAATGGCAATTGGTCTAAACTTAACACTATCTCCAGAACCAGACTTGGGTACAGGGATGATTTTAATATCTTTCCACAGAGAAGGTACATTATTATTAGAAAAAGAAGTATTGAGAATGCTTGTAAGTGGGTTACTTAAAATATCAGCACATTTCTTTAAAACAATGGCAGGTATACCATCAGGGCCTAGACTCTGGGAAGGTTTAAGAGATTTCAAACATTTAAGAACATCAGAAGTATTGAAACGATGAAATACCTGAAGGAGAGCCTGCCGAAGGGCAAAGCATCACGTGCGTCCCTGTTTCTTTCCATTACGAGTTTAGAGTCCCTCAAACTTTCTACCAGCGGATTTAGCTATGGCAACGATCGTGGACAAACTTATGCAAAAGCTGGACAGCCACGTAGTGACTGCTTCCAAACAGTCTATCCTCTTAAAATCTCATTCACTAATAATGAGTAGACATATAAAGCCACCATTTAACTTGTACATATTCTCTCTTGTTTTACTCTCCTGACTACTTCAACTATCAAGTCCATTAGACCATTATAACTGACATTATATGCATATATATAAATCAACTTCAAATTTCAATTGCTGCCTGTTTTTGTGTTTTCCTTATTTCTTTTTCTGTCCTTTGGTCTGTATAACCTACACAAATCACATCTGTTGATATTATCTTTCCTTTGACTATGATACTGGAGGACTAACTGGTGAGAGAATCAACACCATTCGCAGTAGCAAAACGGTCTTAACACACTGCATACTACAAATAACATAATTAATCTCAGCCCCATTTCTTTTGGAGTTGAGTGGTGGGACGAACTACGCAGAAGATCAGGATTGTTTGTTTCACAACCAAGAAGTGAACACAGAGAAATCAAACTGGCTTACAATAACCCATAAAAACGATATTGGATATTGGACACAGACTTTGAGTTATTTTAACTTCGTGTGGCAAAAACGGTCTTCACGCTACTTCGAAGCGTGGTAAGGTTCTGCAGAGATAAATACTTTGGTTCCCGGGTATTTGAACATATATTCTTCAATGTTGGCAATTTACATCGGCTGTTTAAATCCTCATTTCAATTGCAAAAGACAGATATCCAACTATAACTCGTGGTACTAACAAAATATTGCGTTCTTCAGTCTCTACAATGGTAAGGTTTCAAATGGGAAAACGTTCTAATCTCTCAGGACGTTAAGGTTGCGCGAACTGAAAAGCCTTCATACTATGGAGGAGATAAATTCGATGCAGATGACGAAGGTATGTTTTTTTTGTATCGTACATATCCAATATCAAAAGTGACTCCAAGTCGTTAACTTGATAGCACCCTCCCAAGTCACCCCTATTATTTCTGTTGTTATATTCCTATAACTATGGATGTACTTCCATTACACTATGAAGCTTCTACTTAACTTCTGAGTTGTATTTCAGACATTCTTGTTGTCCTTTTAAATAAATATCTTGGTTTTTCATCACTTGTGGTGTATTTTCTTGTGACAGAGTTGCTGTGAACCAGTTGATATTATTATAACTGGATGCCTGTATCCCTTATATTTGCTGACATTAGATTGAAGAAAAGCCGGTTTATCTACTTTCGTAATTTAGTCCAGTGAACCGTAGTTCTCTGCCAGTTTGTGTATCAATTTTTCAATTCTGGCTGTGAACACCGAGTAACCTTTTAACCTATACCAACGTATTTGAAAAATAAGATATTGGTATCTGGAGACAAAGTCTAAAGCGGAACACAAGATACTTCATATAAACTGTGATTAAGATTTAACTGAATAGAACTAGACATATGTAAAAATTATATTTTTTTAAAACTCAACGAAATTGTAATGAGTAAATGCAAACTTTTCGTTCGGCAAACTGGTCGGAGCTTCTGCAGGGAGACTAGTCGAAATTTAAGTAATAAAGGTTTATGCATAAAAAGGTTATCTGTCTATAAAAACTGTCTTATCATATGAATCATGAATCGCATCAAAATATAATAAAAGAAATTGCATGAGTTTTGATCGAAATAGGACCTCAGACTTACAAATATTGGTGTAATTTTGTTAAACACTGTGTATACCTCACATACGTATGTATTTTTTCACATACCGTCGCAGTGTTGTGTGTATGGGAAACATTTGCAAATCACTTGTTACCCTCTCCATAATACGATATAGACAATCGGGAACTTAGATCATGTGTGATAAATTAGTGAGACATATCTATGTATTCATTAGTGAGAACTTGTATTCCGTCAGCTAACATCACACCCTCAAACTTTTGGGATCCACTCATTTATGTAGGGCTCATGTAGTCAGTCTTTCTTTAAATGAAATAAAACCGTTCTTTAGAATCTTTTCCCTATCAAATTCTATCTTGTGTCCCACTTCTATCGAGCGCTACTCTTCTACTCTTGCTACTTGAATTTTTCATTACGTTTATTGATTTTCATTTTTCGACTTCATTAATTGTGTTTTTCTATCCTTTTATTTCTTAGAATCCCAGAAACTATATATTAATGATTGTCGACAGAAGCAGGCAGCACTGTACTCTCCTTTTTTATTCAAGTCCACATCAGCACAGCTTCTACTCATGCCTCCCGATTCAAGCGAACTTCTTGTCATGAGTGGCCAAAGTCGTATTCATCTGTATATACGAGAAAATCCAAATGAATTTCTAAAGAATTGTGAAAACTCAGGTGATTCGAGTCATCAAGGTGTTGCAAATCCCTCTGAAGTTGATCTTGTTGTTTGTAAATTGAGTAATGTTTCTATCCCTCGTTTTCCTCAAACTTTAACATGTGAAGCCTCTTTATTCCGTTCACATGGACTACCCTTACTAGTATGGCCCAAGTCACTTGACAAGGCATATATTCAAAAGGTATGCATTGTTTCTACTCGAACTATTATTTTTGTGTGCGGTGTGTAAGAAAGCCAACAGGAAAGTAGATAAATACAATGAAAAATAACGTCTCACCACTGTGAAAGCTAAAATATTCTTGTGTTCCCTTTACATCATGGTGTAGAGAGATTCTTAACAATAGGCAAATAAGATTTTTCTTAAAGACATGTTGCCCAGAACGTCACACTAACACCATTATTGATAAGTAACTGCTCTACTTCATTCGTCATATACAATTATTATTGTTTTCAATGTATTTTGACTTGAACGCATTTATTCAAAGGCAATTTATATTTGTTGTCCCACATTTTTTCATAACATGTTGGGAAACAATACAAAGTTGCAATTACTTTATTTGTTGGGTTCTTCGTTTGGAACTAACTTCCTAATTCGCTCAATATATAATAAGTGATCCGAGAGGGTCTTTTCCTAAAATAGCTTTGATTTCCTCTTCATTATGGGTAAATTTTGTTTGATAAAGTCTCAGCGTTATACAGTAATGTTTACTGATGACGTGTATATTAATGTAGAGCTGAGGCACGTTGGCTTAGGCTTCCATCTTTCAAATAGTGGTTCGTAAAGACAAGTTTCAGCAAAGTACAAATCTTTCGCTTTATCATATTAACAGATGAATTAGTACCTGAGAATAATTTGAATGTTTAACAGGGTGTAAAATTAGATAAACATAACTTGATAAGTCAATCTGTAGGTGTGAGAATAGAAAATCACTTTAAATAAAATATTTTGTGATGAATTCTATTGGGTGTTTATGTATCATATCAGCTTGTCATGGATAAAAATAGTTGCACAACACGTTGAAATTTAGACTGAATTCAGTGTATAAAATTATTGCGTCGACAGCTTTAGTGTCACTGACATTTCTCTATCTCAACACTGACCTAATCCGCCAGGATAATTTCAGTGCTCAACTGAATTCTGTTTAGTGGCATCTTTCTTTAGATTTTCTTAGGGTTTTGTCACTCGAGTCACGGTCGCTTTTACGACTATAGTAATTCTCTTCGTGTTAAAGAGTATTTTGATTCTTTCTATTTAAATCCCTGAAAATAGTGTCTACAATAGTTATTCATTTAGTATTTAGATGACAACTACCCAGATTGCGGCTGTTGGTTTCGTGAACTGGATAAAGTTATTGGATGGTTAGAACAGAAATGGCGACCATTAACCCGGAACTTGGGAATTACTGGTACCGACGCAACTACTGATGGTATTAACCTGGAGAAAAGTTCGTGTATACGCGGTTTCCCAGAACAATGTGTTGCAATGCTTTACTTGAGGAAAAGATCAATGCAGTACGAAAGGTATGTATTATAATACTAAAAATACGAATGCAGCTTCAACATGTTTCGTGGGTAGAGTATTGTAGGCAGCTGTTTACTTTGTTCAGCTAAGTCTAAGCCTTTTAAGAAAGACAGGATTTTTTCGGTAAGGGTTTCCGAGAACTTAGCTATCAGTTTTTGGCAATTTGTCATGCTCAAAATTATGAAATATAGAACAGATAACTTATTAAATTCTTAAAAATAGTGTTTTACGAGTTTTGTGTCCCTGTCTTTAGAAAGTACGGGAATTAAGTCGTTGAACTTTATTCATGGGGTCCCATTCTAATCTGTATCGATCTTAGGGATTAAACCATGCAAAACTGACCGTTATTTGTAGCTAACAACTATCGGTCAAATGAATATACCATTGTATAATGACTACCAATAGTAATGGAGATGGATATTATGATTGTCGATAAAGTGTGTGTTCGTTAAGAACACTGATTTTGATTTTTCTTACGGTGGAAGTTAACAGTGGAATCTGAGACGCGTGTTTCGTCCGACATGGGGATCGTCGACTAAGTGTATTTACATTTTGGTGAGTGATGGCATCACCACATTCAGTACTCAACAGGTCAGATGTCTAGGCTCGTATGGGAGTCGTCTATGAAGTCAGATATGTTAAAAACCATTTTCTGCCACTCTGAAGATCACAATCTATTTCTAACTAGCATGAAATTCTGATCCAGTTATCGTTTTTATGCTATCTCGTATCTTTTCTCCATCACTCAGTTGTGATAGAGTAACTGTTTGCAAGACTTCTGCGAACTGTAATCGTGTTTTAATTTGTAATAATTTTATTCTGCTTTTTGGTGGGAATCATGATTTTTGTTCTAAATAAATCAGCACAGGTAGGTTGGTCATACCTAATAATTCAGTTAGATATGAAACCCAGCTAGATTAAAGGCTGTCTGTAGATCTACTCAGGGAAGAAGTATCTTAACCACGATAAGTAGAAAACCGAGAAAACACCTTACTGTGTGATAACGTACAGTCTACCCAAATGACACCTATTCACCTGATGATCAGTAACTATATATTTACAGTATGTTTTGCGTGGCACAGTTGCCTAGGCGACAGTGCATTGTGAGTCGGTGGTTTCTATTCTCCATCCGACGCACGCCTAAACGCCCTGAAAAGTTCGATGTGTGACCGGAAGCGCGACTCGTAAAACAACACCACTGCTACTGAAACTTCAAAAGTCTAGCTTGAAGCCGTATGTTCCACTAAGGACTCGAAGATTAAAGAAAAGCCTTTTATACAATAAATGATCTTAGTAATGTTACTAGATTGGCTTAATCATATATCTGTAACTACCCACAGAAGTGAATCATTATAAGTTGTCAGAAAGTTTGTGTTGTGTAAGTACCAATAGAGGTGTGACATATGGAACTCCTGATTGTAATTGAAAAGCCAGAGCAACACATGATAACTTGCGATACCTCAGACAAAAGATACATGTTAATTTGACCGTTAAAAATTGAGTGCACACAGTTATGGCCTATTATTATTATTATTATTATTATTATTGTATCCTTTAGTTCCTAGAGGAACATAGGGCTTCAGCTGCGCACCTCCATTGCCTTCGGTTTTCTGACAACTTTTTCACCCTGCTCCAGGTCTGTCCACATGCTTTCATCTCCTCCTCGCATGATCTCCTCCAAGTCACCCTTGGACGACCAACTCGCCGCCTCCCTTTCGGGTTCCATTCGAGGGCTTGTCTAGTGATGTCACTTGATGGTTTCCTCAGCGTATGACCAATCCATCTCCATTTCTTTCTGCCTATTTGTTTCACAATCGGTTCCTGATTGGTTCGCTCCCAGAGATCCCTGTTGCTGATCTTTTCTGGCCATCTGATCTTGAGTATTAAGCGGAGACAGCTGTTAATGAAGGTTTGGAGTTTGTTTGAGATGCTCTTTATGACTCGCCAAGTCTCTGATCCGTATAGTAGCACTGACTTCACATTAGAGTTGAAAATCCGGATCTTATTTTTGATGCTGAGTGCTGTTGACCTCCACACAGATTTGAGAGTAATGAAAGCTTGTCTTGCTTTTCCGATTCTGGCTTTGATGTCCTCGTCAGTTCCGCCTGTAGTTGAGACGATGCTTCCCAGGTAGGTGAAGGAGGTTGTTTCTTTCAGGTTCTTCCCACTTATGCTGATTGTTGTCTGTTGTTGCTGTTGATGTTGGCTAGGAATCTTCATCATCTCTGTTTTTTCTATGTTCACGTGAAGTCCTATCTTTGATGCTTCTTCTGCCAACTTGTTACTTTTCACTTGCATATCTTCCAGTTTATGGGAAATCAGACATATATCATCGGCGAAATCCAGATCTTCCAAGTCTTTTGTGTGAGTCCATTTTATGCCTGTTTCCTCATCGCCTCTCGCTGTTTGTCGCATTATCCAATCTACTGCAATCAGGAAAATCATTGGTGATGGTAGACAGTCTTGCCTCACTCCCGTCCTCACTTCGAAGGCTTCCGTAAGTTTCCCGTTGTGGATTACTTGGCATGCAGCATTATCGTATAGCTGTTGGGTGAGATGTATAATTGTCGATGGGACCCCGTAGTAGCGAAGTAGTTGCCAAATCACCTCTCGATCGACGCTGTCGAAGGCGTTTTCAAAGTCGATGAAGTTGAGATAGAGAGGTGACTGCCATTCTAAGCTTTGTTCAGTGATGATTCGTAAAGTGGCGATTTGATCGACACATGATTTGTTTCTCCTGAATCCGTCCTGTTCCGGTCGAAGTTTTTCATCCAGGCTGGCTTGTTTGATTCTCTCTAGGATCATGCGACTTAGTATCTTGCTTGGAATGGACAGGAGCATAATTCCACGCCAGTTTTTACATTGACTTAAGTCTCCTTTCTTTGGAAGTTTGAATAAGTATCCGTTCTCCCAATCCTCGGGTACTTTGCCCTCTTTCCACACCTTCTCCAGCAGTGGCGTCATCAAGTCCGCTGTTGTCTGTGGGTCTATTTTCAAAGCTTCTGCTGGGATTCCATCTGGTCCCGGTGTTTTCTCAGCTTTAAGCATCTTGATTGCATTCAGGACTTCTGATTTCGTCGGGGGGTCAGTGTTCACTGGTAGTTCTGCTTCCGTTGTTGGTATTGTTGGGCGCGTTGTAGGTGACAATCGATTTAGAAGTCTTTTGAAGTGTTCAGCCCAGTGCTTTCTCTGTTCCACCTCTTTGGTGATTGACTTTCCATTGTCGTCCTTTATTGGCTTAATCTGTGTCGAACGTTTGCCCGAAAGGTTCCTAGTTGTTTGGTAGAGTGTGGCGATTTCGAGTTTAGAGTCTCCGGTGGTTTGTGTGTTTTGTCATAACTATGCGTTTTATTAGTGTAAGAGTGGCTACTATAGTAGAATTCGTCATCAATCGTTTTGAACAACAGTTCGTATCAGGTAGAAAGGCCACTTAACTGTAAAGACACATTCTAAAACGATGGAAGTTATCTTTCAATAAGTGACATCTTAACCCCTTGTACTTACTTTGGGAATATTGTCCCTGTCACTCTCAAGGGTTGAATAGTGGTCAATCTATGATTTTGCGTTATGGAATGTAGTGTGATCTTTTTGCGTTAGCTTGTCTGCTCACCAAGACTCCTCAGGTACAGTCTGAGAAATCATGTTACGGCAATGCAATTTTGTATCCCTTCTAGAGAAAGCGTTCCAAAATAATGGAAAATTCTTTAAGTGTCCTTAGTAAAGATACTTGCTTAAATACGTTGTATAACCATATATCTTCTATCGTCATACTATTACAGTAAGTTGCGTAGCGCATTTATTGGTGTTCACGTGTATTAAGTTTGTGTATAAATAATTAATTATTTGGTTAGATTTCAGTTAAATGTGATAGATTTTTCGAGTACCAGACTGTGTGTCACACTTGTTGAATGAAGACCGGTGATAATTCCCAGTCTCTTGGACTAAACTAAGTAGAGAGAGATTCGAATCACGGGCCCATCATTGAACTGACAGAGAAATTTAGTATGTTGAAATGCAACTTTTCCATTTAATTAAAATAGCTTTCCGATGGATTCTTCGACAGTATTGTAGAATCACGCGAAAAGAACCTATAGTGATTTCAAAACTCTTTCCTACCTGAAGGGAATAGATGTGGGGTATAGATCGACTGCGAATGTTCCACTCTCTAATTTGCATAGGACGATATACCACTGACTGATTAAGATTAGTTTCATACCACTCATATCAGCCAGTAGTTCTTGCTAGCCAGATCGAGGTGATCTAAACACGGGACAGTTGTTTCGCTCGATTTAGGCCGGGCTTATCAGCAGTGTATTCAGTTTGACTCAGCTCGGAATACCGAATCAGTTCAAACCACGCGATTTCTGGTTAGCTATTTGTTCAAACGGGTTATTGAGTTCATCCTGATTGACTGACTGAATTTTCAAGGTAAAACTTTGCATAGAAGTGCAGCAGTTCAAGGTGTCACACTTCATAGAGCACATATAAGGGTAGGGAACAAAATAAACATTAAAAATCTATAATAGACGAAAATCTGTGGCAGAAAAAAAATAATTGCGTGGTGATACAGCGTGGATGGATCTGCGCCATTAAAAACAATTTTTGAGCTATGTCACCAATAGTCGTCACTCATTGGTTATTAGCGTTTAGAAGGCCCTAGCAACTCAGTCTGGCTTCTGCTCACTTGCAGATAAATCTTTCTCCTGGTGAAGAGGTGCAATGAGGATTCGAATCATGCTGTTTACCATTATAACAAGCAACATTTCGCTTACCACTGATGTTTTCTAGTGAGCAATGGTCTTGGGCGTAGCTCAGAATATCAAAGTGATTACATACTGTTATTCTGTCTGATAGTGTCTCCACTATTCCTCTTTAGTTAGTTCTACTTGGTTGATTATGATCCTCAAAAAGTCATTCTTCATGTTGATTGGCTTATTCTTGTGTGAGTTTTCAATACTTTGAAAGTTCAATTCATCTCTTTGGGTAATTGTTGTGTTTTACTTTACTGAATGCTTAAGCTCGTCAAGTTAGTGGTCAGTCGACTGTCGTGAAGAGAGTTCTTTATACATAATTTTTCTGCTCTAGAAATTGGTGATCATCCTGAGTTCGGCTTATATTTTAATTATTCCTTCTATAGTCTGAATAAACACAGTTATTTTCTCCTTTGTCTCACCCCTCTGCTCACAGTTTCTATTATGCTTTTCTTATACTTTCTTCTCTTGCTTCGCGTGCTACACGGAGTGTGGCGACTTGAACTTCCGCACATTTGTGCAAAGTTCTATGTCGAAAACAGACAGACAAACCTAATATGTATTCTTTATGAGTATCACCTTTGTACGAGGACTGTATATACAACTTCCAGTAACAGTCACTTAATTCAGGTGAACGTTTGTTAAAGAGATTCATCTAATCAAGTGTATTATAGATGAAATAATCAATGTCAAATTTAATATGGGAAACATGAAGGTACTATCCAACGGTACCGTTTCACTTTAGGGTTCCTTCCATAAACCTACATTCAACTTTGGGATCTATACTTTTATAACTGTTTTAAACATTTTTTCATTCCTTCGCGTTCATGGTGGGAATTAAGTAAATCATCAAGCTTAAGCACTGAAGTTTTAGTAGCGGTGGTGTTCTTACAGGATGAATTTGCTAGTCTCATGCCCAACATTATAACTTTGCCAGGCTTACCACCTTCTGTGAACAAATATGGGTGTTACTTAGCAACCACTTGCAATTCCATGCAATTGGAAATGAGCCTCACCTATTGTGTGAGGTCCAGCTATGCTGTCTGGCTACCTAAACCTAGCTGGGTGGGGTGAGGTTCGAACCAGTAACCCTCTGGTTTAAAGTCGAGCACCTAGACTAGTACGGTAGAGCTTCACCATTACCGGCCAACCGAAGTCTAGGAGGGCGTCGTTCGGGAATCTGACCCGTACCACTCACGTGGTCGGTGTACATTCTGTCATTGGAAGACCAACTCACGTTTTAAAACATTAAGCAAATGAAACAATTCCAGACTTTACTGCCCGATTCAGTTTAACATTCTTCCCACGTTTCTAATATTGTGACAGGTTATTATGTCCACAATTGGCAGTGGGAAAAAGAGCGAGTTTATCTGCACTATTATATTTGGTTTTCACCTTCATCTATGCAATGATTTCTGAAAACAGTCAAGAAAAGCCACCTTTCTCCATTCGACCAATGTCAACGGTCATCTTTTAATCTGGCTACTTCGAGGTTTTTCGCTTTCTGTTCTTTATCTAATAAAGATGGTTGGTAGGGTTCCATACTTCTTCAGAGCATGAAACACACCAATCTCAGTAAGCTGAAGAATTAATTTTTTTAGCTGCAGAGAGTTTTCACAGTCATCATTTTCATCAACTTATTTGGTTCATTACTTCAAGAACTACTCAAATTAATTTATTTAGCGTAACTAAGATCCGTTGAATTTTCAATTATCAGTAAAACCTGATTTAAAAAGAAATTTTTTTATTCTACAGGTATGCTAGTCTACTACAGTCTTACTTTACTCATCGTCTACAGTATACTCCAGCCTTTCATCATAATTCTATACATCGGGAACTTGTAGAACATCACAAAGTAAGCGGATATTTCCCACTTTGTTTGTCTTTCTCCCCTGTGTTGTTGGTGTATATTTGTCTTTCTCATTCATCTTTTGGTAAAGTGCCCTTTTATTAAGTCACTGAAATAAATTACGTATTAGCATTAATTAAGTTGAATTAACAAAGTACATTTTCTAAGAGGAAAAACAGGAATTTAGCAAATTTGTATACTGTATTATTTGAAGAATAAACGGAATATCAGTGGTTTATAAAATAGCACCAATGGAATTGAGTAATTATTCATAGATTAGTATTAGGTGATGAGACAAATTTCGGCAGGTAAAGTTGCTACCACTTACCGTCGTCTAAGGTGACGATGTAAACGGTAAACACAATAGCAAAAACTACAAAAATTCAATTTTTCTTGACAAAAACATTCAACTTGTGGTAGACTTCATAGTATCGCTTGTATCAGTTACATGGAGTCTGACTAGTGTTTTCTAAACCGTTGTTTCTGCAGTGCACAACTACTGTAGTTTCACATAGCTAGAGATTTAAACAGCTATTTCATCCTAGTTTGAGACTGTTGATTAGAGCGTACACACAGTACTGTGGAGGATCGAAAACAACCATCAGATTACCAGGTGGTCATGTTATCATTCAGTTGCAGGTTTGGAATCCTGCGTCTCCCGATTTCCAATCTGTGGTAATTTGTGAAAAAGTAAACGTGATTTCAACCCACTATTCATGATTGAATTTGAAATTGGTTTCCTGGAGTCGTGATACTTATGAATAATTGAATGATAGTGGCACTATTTGGCAGTAGTTGGGAGCCAGTGGGCGGGCATTCAGTTCCGGTCAGGTGGTAAAATTGTGACATATTTGCTTTTTACCGTGATTGTCCTGGGCTAGAGATAATCGGTGTGTATTACTGAAGAGTTCCAAAGTAAGACGAAGCGCATATATATTTTGCTACTCTGTCCCCAAGGCTCGCTCAACTTGGCTTAATTTCTTGATTAAAACAGAAAATTAATTGTTTCCTTTAACTGTTTCTGATTACAATTATTATCAATATTTTTTACTTTCTCCTTAGGAAAGACTTAGCTGCCTAGCTGAAGATGCTGGATTTTTTAATGTAGTTGGGAATCGTCTTATTCAGCTAATCAATAAAGCTTTATCGACTGGAAAGACGCTTACTCTCAATGTAAATAACTTCACTTCAAGTATTAGTGATCCAGTTGTAAAGGAACAATGGTAAGATGTATGCTTTTGTATGTTACCCGTCTTACGAAATGTTCGTGGTTTAAGTCTTTTGTTGTAATATTCCTCTTTCAGAGCAGATACTAAATTGAAAATTTTGAGTTGAATTGTCTCTACAAAAAAAAAACAACAACTAATTTCATGGAAGTGTTAGTCATTTTCTGTTTGCTCAATAATTGCTTTTTGAACAGGCTTTTGTCATTCAGTTTTGGTGTATGTCCAGTAGACGATTCGAATTAACTCAATTATCAAAGTGAACTAAGGCAATAAAATATAGTAAGAATGATTAAAACAGCTTTTATCGGTTGTATTTAAATTACACAAAGTTTGGGGTATCATCTTGCTTAAAAAGATGGTTCTGAAATAAGGGGAGGGGATTTTTTTACAACTCAGGTGGATGTATTTGATGTTGTCGTGTCCTCTGAACAAGACAGTTCAGTTAATAAGCTTTCACTGTCTTTTTAAACAAGACCATCAGCATTTTACTTCAATATAAATTGAGCTTTCTCAGTTCTTCATATATATATATATATATATATATATATATATATATATATATATATATATATATATTATATCTGTTTTTCCTGATTCTCCGTGAGGAGTTATTTTCAAATACTGTTCGATCGTATTCATATTAAACAAGAAATTCATTGAAGCCTAAAAGGGAATTAGTAAACGGAGACTGAGGACTGATAGTTTGTATTGTGCATTAAACCTGAAAATGACTGTACTAGCCTAAATGTACATAAATCGACATAGGGGAGTAGTAAGAGCGGCAAAGTGCTTGACCGAAATCCGTATGGTGTAAGAAAGCGAAAGCAAAGTGAAGTAACCAAATTTGTATAATGGTGAAGATGGAGTAGAAATACAAAGATCGGGTTCAAAGTTACTGATGGGATCAATTTTCGAAAGTTATTCATCGAACAGAAAATTCCCTTTGCTTTGACATCTTCCTTCCTTTTAATACGCACTGTGGGAATTTTACAAACACTAAACTTGATTCTTTTCTATTTCATCAGCTAAATATGGCTTATTGTAGTGGTTTGAATTTGAATTCAATAAAACTGTCTTATTTTTCAAACTGTTGTTCTCTAGTTGGTGAAATTTGTCGTCTGTTGATGTATTAGTACTGAGGAACTCTCAACTTTGCCAAAGTTAAACTATAATAGTCAAAACTACAGTGACCTTGAACGACCAATCAGAATTCAGATGCCACGGTACACCGTATATAATGGTGTATCTTCCCCTCCTTTGCTTACTGAAGCTGGAGTTCCTCAGGGTGCTGTTCTCTCGCCGTTTCTCTTTTCCTTCTTCTTACATGACTTACCTCTCTCAGACGAAATCAACCTCGTCAAATATGCAGATGACCTGACTGTTTCGCTTCCCGTTAAGTCTCAGTCAGACTGTTTCAAATTAAATAGCTTCCTGTCGGACATCAGTCAGGGGTCTAAACTAAATGGCCTCATGCTGAATCCCTCAAAATGCTAGACTATTGACCTCCCCTTTAGGCATAAACGAGATTTACAAACACTAGTAAGTACTCATGAAGCCTGTAGCATTGAGGGGACTAAAATTGAAACTAAGTCTAATGCAAAATACCTCGAATTAGTTATATCTTCCGACCTTACTTGGTCATCTCATATCCAAATGATTTCCAAGAAAGTGTTTCGTCTAACCTACTACATTAAGAAACTCAGACTAACTGGAGTCCCTCAACCTCTGCTTACACAATTTGTCAACTCTCGTATCTTACCTATTCTACTTTACTGCTCCCCATGAGTCTTTCCTGGGCTACTGAAAAAGGACTATACCATCCTGAGGAGGATGCTGAAGGTAGTTAGTAGGACTAGTGGTGTAAAACTCAGTCAACTCGTCATTACATTAGTCGAACGGCATCTGAATACATGCGAGAAATGGTCTAAAACCATACTCTCCGACTCCCAGCACCCCTTCTATTCTCAACTCTCTCCTTGTATCTCATCAGATAGAACCAGAAATCAGTACAAAATAATATATGCTCGTACAACCAAGTATAGGAACTCAACGATATCATATTTGGCCCGTGTTCTAAGCGACAAAGACAATGTTAAGCGCGAAACCTATGACTTGGTTTGTTGTTAATAACATAATTTTGGCTCTTTTATTTCTCTCTTATTTGTATTCTATAGTGAACACTTTCTTAAACATACTTAGCTACCTAAATTATTAACATTGGCTTACCTTTTTTTGTACTTTACTCTATTCCTTCTTTTGTATATCTACTAGGTCCGACTATATTATCACTATGATTATTACAAAATTGTCCTGTCATTAACCTTCATGTAATATTAATTTTGTGGTTGTTTTTTGTTCGGCAATATAAACTGACAATCTTGTTGTGAATGCCATTATTAACACCTTAAAAATTTTGTATTATTCAGGATTACTCACACTACAACTACAAACACCGCATTAGAGCTGACAATAAAAAAAACACAACCTGAAAATGTTTATTATGATTGTTTAGTGTTGTTCAATCAAATTAACTGATCATGCATAGTCATCCTTAATATCATTTCATAACTTCTTGTATGATATACTTTTAGTGTTCACCACGCATAAACATATCATAGCTTCCACTACCCAATACTGAGATATTATGTATTATGTTGTTTATTTTCCATTCTACTTCTTGGTAGTTTTTCGCATTTTTTTTTGCTATTTTGTTTTTTTGTTGTGTTTTTTATATTTATTTTTTGAAATACTCCTTTTAAATTTTTGATAAAATGAGATGCAATATTGTAGATAAGTGCTGAAAATTCCACACTGTACCATTAGTACTGTTTCTGGAATAAAGCAAATTATTATTATTATTAATATTATTAAAGAAGTCGAATAGTCGTTGAAAAATACACTAAAATATATTGCAAGCATGATGTTACACTGTATATGTTTAGGTTATGTATTGTAAGAATGTCTCCCAATCATTACACAGATGGTCTACAGAAAAATCGTAGCATGCGTTCATTCAGATAACTGTAGGTTATGCACTTTGAGATCCATCGATATTTCTGACACAATTCTTCAACCCACTTCCAACTCTCTAACCCTAGACCCTAAACTTTAATCTAAAAAGCCATAACCCTACCTAACAGTATAAATTTGCAAAAAACGTACCTAGTAAACAAGTGGAACACTGTATCTACCCTGTCGATGTTCAAAAAAAAGCACACATAACTTCATTTAGAATGACATTTCATAGCATTCCCTGTGACTCATCGGTTCTCGAAGGTCAGTTTTTCAAAGACCTTGACTTTGGTTATGATACTTTAACTTTGCCACAACTTTTCTTCTGACAAATTATACCACCTGTCATCTATGGTTGAACCTCTTTCCCCGTCACAAATCCACTTTGAAACAAGTTACTAACATATTTTCTTTTCAATTTTAGCTTACATGCTTTGCTACCTGTAAATGAAGTGAAAAATATCAAACAAAAGGTAAGTATGACAGTATTTCTCATCAGCTGTTTAATGTTTTATGAAATCTGCAATTAAATGTTTTTTTATCTGATAATATATTCGATGCGTATTAGATTGTTATTGGTTATTGAATAAATTACTGAAAGTCATTTCACTGAATTTCATGAGGTTGAAACTCTTATACTTCTTCTTGAGAGAAGCTACAAACCTTCAAATTTCTTCGTTAGAGAGGGAGACTCAGTTATCTTTATACTGAAACATGAAATGTAGAGACAATACACCACGTTTTCAGACTATTCCATGTAGACTTCTGACTGACTGACTGTTTTCAGGGTAAAACTTTGCACAGGTGTGCAGCAGTTTGAGCTGTCACTCTTACTCCATGTAGCACACAAAGCAAGAGAAATGAGTAAAGGGAGATAGTAAACACAAGTGTGATGGAAAAAGAATAGTAATGTGGTGGAAGAACAATAGAGTTTTATTGGATATAACTGACAAATCACAAAGAGTGAACGCGCATCTGCTTCAGCTACTGGTAACGAAGATTTTGAGCCATATCACCAATTGTCTCCAGTCTTTGCTATCCCGAGGACTCCAACCAGGAAGTCTACACTTCCAAACAGGACTAGCTGGAACTAACTGTTGCGAATTTCATTGACTGATGAAGCCACGTTTTGTTTTGAACACCTCTTATCCTTTTCCAACCTGATACTATTTCAGCTAACATTGCCCGTTGAGGAAGTTGATGACTTGGTGTGCGTGCGTAACACATGTCCTAACCATTTCAATCGGTGTAACTTCATAGCCTCGTTGATCGATTCCCCCTCCTTACCCAGTACTCGACACCTAGCCTCGATATGTAGGCTTCTACAAGTTTATCTCTGCTAATACAGTAAATTAGACGTCTACTATCTCAAAATATTACCTCTAACATTATCACGAAGCAGGTTCAGAAAACTTAATTTCCGAAAGCAGATATGATTTTGAAACACGCAACAAATGTTAATAAGATGACTGATAAATAAACTACAATGAATGTTTCACAGGTTAACTCCAGACAGACAAATGAGGGTGAAGGGGTTTTGATATACTGAGTTGTGAATCAACTAATTCGCGTTTGTAATTGTAATGCTGTAAAATTGTGCAAGTGTATTGACTTAAGAATTTGTATAGTTGTACATAGTAACTCATGTTTCCTCATAACACTAGTACTATTGGTATCTGTCATGACCTTGTGTTTAAAAAAAATGTATTTTAACCATTCGAGTTAATATAATTAATTCTGGTTATTGAGTCCAACAGAAAGTTATGAATTCATTTACAGAGGTTCGATAGCCTGTTTTCTTGAGAAATAGTAGATTAAGTTCTAAAGTCCAGCTTAGATTTCTCTGCGGAAATTTAGTTTTATTTATATTACCTCCTTAGTAAAATTTAGGTAGGCATCTTCAATATTTTGAGTCAAATAAAGTGAAATCTTTGCAAATTATGGGCTATCCGAGTAGTTTCATAAAGAAACATATGAGAACATCAGAGAGAAAAGCTTAAGACTGACTGCACGTAAAAAGCCTCTATTTATTAAGTTACAATTTAATGGTGACTTATCGAATGAGATTTTGTTCCAGAGACTTTCCAGGAGTATACGAAGAACGTTTTACGCAGCATACCTATGTTTGTCATTCTCTAGCCGACGAATGATTGGGACGCAAACGAAGGAGAAGCTTGATAGTTTTGCCACATCTATGTGCATTTATCAATTCAACTGCACCTGCGGTGACAGTTATGTTGGGCACATTACTACTAGATAGCTTAGCCAACGTGTTAGCGAACATCCCCCATCGTGGTTTGGCAAAAAACAGATAAAAACAATCCGTAGCTCAATCTGTCACATTTAATTGATAGTGGTCATGTAGTCGAGAAAACGAAAGCCTTCAAAGTAATTCATCGTATCCCACTGAATCTTTCCAATAGACTTCGTATTCGTCTACTGCTCACAGCTGAGGCAGGCGATAGGCATTCAAACTATTAAACCTAAACTATGCATTCAAAATAAGTTCGTACAGCCATTATCCCTCCCTTGTTGGCCTATTAAGACATGACCAACTAATGACTTCTACACCACCTCTTGTTTATATACTCAACCCCTTTATTATCATCCCTTAATCTTATCACATCTTCATTAAAAACGTGTTTCATTTGTGTTGTTCTAAATTTTCCTATGGGAATATTTAATATATAATATTATGCCTATCTACTGTCTCGTCCCGTTTCTTTTAATAACAGAGATCCTAGATGAGTTGAGAATAAGGTTAACTAATGTCTGCTAGAATCATATATTTGTAAAAACTGTTTTTCTACTTCGAACGATTCGTGTTTTACAAAAATTCTCAACTAAAAATGACCCATTGATTGATAGAACGACATCTATTTTAATCTGTTGTGGACTCATTGCAGGAGAATGTCATCATGATTTAAACTGAAATATATATATATATATATTAGAGTTAAGCCTGATGAGATCTAATTGAAAACAATATTGTTCGCTTAAATGTGTTGTTCTAAATTTTCCTATGGGAATATTTAATATATTGAAATTATACTTCCATCACTTGATATATTTACATAAACAAAATGTGCAGTCCAACAACTACTCACCAGTTATTACTTTAGTCAGTGTGATGAACATCTGTCTTGTGATCGTTTTTCACGACCTGCATATATTGTCGAATGGTTGCAAATCTTTTTTAGACCGAAAAAGCGTCGCTGCACATAATACATAAAGTGATTATTATATTGTCTCTTCGTGGATAAAGAAAATAGCTTGTACCAGGTAATGGATAACATCATACTACATGGCTACCCGAAAATTGGTAGATCTTATTTAAGTTTAATCCACTTACTTCATGTTCAAAGCTATAGTATCTAATGTGCAGTGAAAAATACTTGTAAATAGGATTAGGTAAATTTATAAATGCTCATGAATTCGTGAGTTACTGGGATGATTGTCTGTTAAATGATTTTTCATGTTAAAATAACAACAGCTTTTATCTCTTATCTTGTTTTTTTTTCAGACAAAAAGTCTCCGTACTACAGATCACTATGATAGTGATGCCAGGTAATTTTCCGATGTCCAATTATAAGTTGATTTTGTTTTTGCTGTATTTCTTTTTTTTTTCTCAGCATAATATGTGTTTTTTTTTACTTTTCCTTATGACACTGTTATGCATATTTTATCTGATTTGCTAGTCTACTCAAGTCTGATAGTGAAGGAAGCGCTTCACTCTCAATATATCCTTGTGGTAGTTTTTTCATTGTAACTTTAATAAACTTGAACAAAGCAAGAACAACAATTGTACCAGGATAATATGAGCTCATCTTTTATTATTATTTCGAGGATTCTTCTCAACTGGTTACAACCTGTGAACGTTAAAAAATATGAATTACATTAAAGATATGAACATACTTTTCCACAATCATAAGGAGTAATTGGTAGGAATTAAAAGTAACAATAGTCCGGAATGATTTAACTGATTAGGAGTTACAAACACTGACTATTTATAGAACAATTAGACAATTAGGCTTGGATCCAAAAAAACAATGTTGCGTGTATATATGTGTGTATAGAAACAAGGTTTAGCTAGAAAGAACACAACAAAAAAGTAGATTACGTAACTAAAGAAAGCATCTTATCTAATAGCCGATACAAAAAAGGAAAGAAAAGAAATAAGGTAGGGTGAGTCATGTTTAGATGAGAGTGTAGAGTATTCTAAACATGAAAAAGGTGACTCATGAAAGTTGTATATATATATATATTTTTTTTTGTTATCACCACGGTAGTCCAAGATTCACCACTGTCCCTTTCTGCGTACATAGATTTGGTTTAAGTCGTTTGATGGCAGTTGCTTCAGCGAAGCGTAGCAAGCTAGTTTTCTTTTGCTTGTTGATTATTTTAAACGACTTCAGGTTGTCTACAATATGACCAGTGTCCAATAGATGACGAGCAATCGCAGTGTTTAATGCTTGCGGACCTTTCAGTCTCAGGTTCTTCGGTATGTGTTCTTAAATGCGAACACTAACCCTTCTCTTTGTTCTTCCAATGTATGTGCTTTGGCACGTACATGTAAATTGGTAGACAGTTGGAGGTTATATGAGGTGGGTGTTTGTCCACTTTTGATTGTCGCAAACAATTAGTTGTTTGATAAACACATACAAGCTTGGCCGCTGGATATGTTCTCTTCAGGGCAGCGTTCAGTCTGCATCTTATTCTACTACCAGTATCATCACCTTTGAATGCAAGCTGCAGAAAGGTAGGCTTTTTTATCTACTGTGCTGCTTTTCACTTTTTCAACATGACATCGCCCATACTTGTCGATGAACTTTTGTGGGTAACCGTTTTCGCGTAGGCATTTCTCCACAGTGGATAGCTCTTCCTCAATCTTTTCTTCTGGACCCAGTTTCCTCACACGATCAGATAATCTTCTCACCTATCCCTTTTTGTAACTTATAGGGCAGAAGTTTTTGAAGTTAAGATAAACCGCCCTCCAGGTCTCTTTTCTGTGTATATATCTTATGGTTTTGCCGTCTTTATCTCGTTGGATACCCATGTCCAGGAAATGAAACTTCTCTTCTTTTTCATACTCCATTGTAAACTTAATATTAGGGTGGGCGCTGTTCAAGACTTCTAATACTTGAGATACATCATTGAAAGAATTACAAATAACGAAAGTGTCATTGACATACCTGTTATAGACGTTTGTCTGACTGATTTCGGATTTTAACCTTGTTTTTTTCTAGACTACCCATAAAAATATCTACCAGAATCAGACCCAAGGGGTTTCCCATGGCTACTCCGTCAATTTGGCGGTATAGAGTGTTGTTGAACTGGAACTGTACGTCTTTGGTACACATAAGTAAAAGTTGTTTGAGTTCGTTCTTGGGCAGAGGAAGAAGTTCGGCATGTTTGACTTGTGCGTTATACCGTGTATAAATTCATGTTAACTGTAATAGCATATAATCGATAAGATTTATGACTCAATTAAATGATTTTCGTGTAGCTGTGTTCTCTGAGCTGGATGGTTTAGTGGCGAAGCTGTCAATATTGTCCTAAACAAAATCCTCAGTGCATACTTCATTTTGAAGTAATATTTTAAGTAATCCGTAATAGTTGCGATATTTTTGAGGCCCACCATGTTACCTCCTTGAACACTGAATATGTACTAGTCATCCGTATTACAATGAGTTGATTGTGATGATGATTACATCATTAACAATAATAATAATATCAAATTAATCTTTTCTTCACATCATTGATAAAGGGGAACTATTTGTTTAAACGGAATCTGTTCTACTAAGTTCATAATTTCAAAGATATATTTCCGTTTGTCATGGTAGATTTTGCCACGAATTGGCATCAGTTATATAATTGTAGAGCTCAGAAAGGTTGTTTGGATAATGGTTAGACTTAAAGCAGTTGCCATTGGGTACATGGGCTCCAGAATCCAATCGGATCAAATGGCGTATGAACCCATATGGGTCACCGGAAACCATGGGAACGCTGCTCCGCTGCCTTTTAAATTAGACTTCAAGTCAAAGGCTCGGGGATGGTCGCTTAAGAAAACCACCTGCTTCGGTCTAGGCGCCCGGGCAGTATCTCAGCCGTCACACAACAGATGAAATGTGTGGTGCATCTTTCTTGGTGCCATATTGTACCAATTTTTTTCTGCGTTTAAATAAATAAATAATTGTAGAGCCTATTCATTCAATAGCTTGCTATTTTTTTATTATAACAAGGCATTAAGATTCATTCTGTCGTTTGAATGTACATTTGATTTCATGTCATCAGAAACTCCAGTTTAAAAGTTTTCCATTAATTGAACTATCGCACTGTTACATTCTTTTATATGGATAATTATTTTGTTTCAGTGACATTTCTGGTCATCTGTCTGATGGTGACAATACTGAGTCAGAGTATGATGAGGAGGAATCACTAACATCGGATACAAAAAAAACAGTTAATACGGATGCAGTTAAACAAACTTCCAGTGATTTACCGAATCGACCAATAAGTAAAGAGGTTAGTTGATGAAGTCTGCGCACTTTTTTTTGTCACTTTTTTCTATGCAATTCTCTTTTAAATTCTGTATATAGTTGTATATTCACAAACTCCATATGATTGGTAACTATTTGTTTGTTTGTTTGTCTTGAGCACCATATTTCTTACATTTTTGAACTTTTCAATTAGGACAGACAGCTAAACTGTTTGGTTTTATATGAGATAGTTGATGAATATTCAATCTGATCTGTAAAGAGTGTAAAGTCTCGTAGAAATTCCTGAGTTCGAAACCAACAAGAACAAGTATGTATAACTAGTATCCATTTTATTTCATCACTTCTCTTTAGCTGCATATAACATCTATGATAATTATAATACTTATCATGGAATGTCCAATGTAGTAAATCGATCATATTTAGTGGAGAACTGAGGAAATAAAATAACTTTAAGTTGTACTATTTCAATGTTTATACATGCCCTTTTTCAAATATGAAATCTTGAAGTTGTCGTGATATCTGTCAGAATAAAATACAGAGGACTTAGCATGAAATTGCACCATCTGAACTGACCACACAAAAGAAAGAGGTTATATTTGATTTTTTCATTTTTGATTTTTTTTTGATTTTTGATTTACAGCTTGATTCCACATTGTATTTTTGGTACAAGTATGGAATTTTCAGCATGGATATCGGTAGCCCAAATTTTCCAGGCCAACCATAGATATCAGGTGTGCGCCGGCGTGGGCTCGAACCCCGGACCATCTGCATGGTCGTCGAGAGTCCTAACCACTGTGCCACCGACGCACAGTGTTAAGATACCCAAAATTGTTGAATATTATTTTAAAGAGAAGGCAAGCATAATCCAATGAGGATAAATGAACATCTATAGGATTTTAAGACAATGTATACATTTACCTTAGTGTGAATAAACTTTGAACCATTTCATTTATTGATGTTTCATAATACGGTACTGGTACAGTTATTGTTAGACATTCACATCCAGGCATTGCTTGCTAATCGTGTTGAAGCAACTGCAAAACATTTCCTCAGAATATATCTTATCTGTCTAACAGAAATAATTGATTGAAGTATCCCATTTAATTTTGTTCATCTATTTTGCAGATGATGAGAAATAAAGGAATCGTAAAATATCGTCATAAAAGAGAACGTAATCCCAGAGTTCATCTACGTCATAAATTCCGTAAGGCTACAATTCGTTATCGGTCACGTGTTGCACCTGTTCGTAAAGAGGAAAAACCATATGGCGGAGAGTTAAAGGGAATACGTGTAAATTTAGTCAAATCACATAAATTTAAAAAATATTAGTCATTTTGTATTTTTGATTTCTTTCTGTCTCCTCTGAAATACATTTTGTCTATAAGACACGAATGCACTTAGAGGGACCGTGTAATGCTTTTCAGGTGACAATATGAATTAGTGTCTGTGTGTATCGATAATGCTTAAAACTGTTGATCTGTGATTCGTTCTATCAAACATGTAGAAGTAACTTGACAAATCCTGTAAACAACTTCATGTCATCCGCGTCACAATCTTCTTTGTCAAGGACTGAACCTCTAGAAATGATCCTGGGAACAGACAGCGAGAAGAATAGTATGTACACAAGCAATCACAAACGAATTTCACCTTCCTTTCGTTTCTGCTCTATTGATAAGAGGGAACAGGGGCTTATGTGAATTTGTATTACCTGTTTAAAAAAATATTGTTATTATTTCAAATATTACGTTTGGGTGTTTTACCGGTATTTCTCAACGAATATCTATCGTGTCTTTTGCCCCAGTACTCACGAGAACACCTTGCGATCTCCCTTATCCTGCCCCCAGGGAATGTGGATAACTATAGAGAATAGCAATCAAAGTCATGGACTTGGAAAAAACCAAACAGAATAGCCCCATGATAGTAATTCATCAATAAAAAAATGAACACAATCACTAGAAGGTATCGCAAACAACCTTTGATTCTTAGATAACCCTTGATTCAAATCCTAGAATCGATTCTAATTGAACAAATCAGGGTGAAAGTGGAAATCGCTTTGCGAAAAATTACGTAGGACGGATGTTATTCTGATCGACTTTTAAAGGCCACTCACTAGGTCCTGAGTTTAGTTGTTACATCTTATAGTTGTCGAGTTATGTCAGCAGTGTGACTACGAGACTAGGTTGCTTATTCTTTCTGGCTATCTGATCTTCAATATGAAGCCAACAGAAGCAGCTATTAATAAAAGTCTGAAGGTTATTTTAAGTGGTTTTGATAACACACGAAGTCTCTGGACGATATGGAAGCACTAACTGACTTATCACTGTTGTTGTGAATCCAAATCTTGTACCTAAGCCTACTTGGTTTTCAGAATAATGAATAACTGTTTTGCTTTTTCGATCCCGGCTGGCCTTGAAATGCACATTCATACCGCATGTAATTGAAACGATGCTGCCCAAATAAGTGAAACAAGGGACCTCTTTCAAATTCCTTTCCTTGACAGTGATTGTTGTGTCTGTCCGTCGTCAAGTGTCCTCATTACTGCTGTATGCTCAATGTTCATATGAAGCATCTTCGCTCCCTGTTTTGTTAATTGTTGGTTTCTGTTATGTACTGGTCGAGTAGTTAATAGTCCTGAAGCAAGAAGGCGGAAATCAGAAAACCCACAGGTTCACGATGATACTTGTATTTTTCAAACAACAAGGAAAATCAATGTCACACAAGTGTATGAGCGAATGTTCAAAAATGAACGAATCAATAGACAGTCCTAACATGATTGGTTGTCATATCATGTGACAACAAGGTCAGACATGTTTGTTTAGTTAGTGGACAGACAGAAACATTGCCAATTATGATGGAATATCGATCCATATATACATAGCAAAATATAACAGACTGTCAAAAACAAACACACATATTATGTGGATACATATCAGTTTCGCCTGTAGATCTTTGAGTTTATGTGACAGTAAACACCAGTCATCCGATAAACCCAAATCTTCCGGAGCTTTCATGTCTGCCCATTATATATCTGTCTTCTTATTCCTCTAAATTGGTCACATATCAGTCAACCACAATCAGGTATAGATAGGAGACAGGTTTGTCTTACTCTTATCTTCAATTTAAGGTCTGCTGTAAATTGCATGACATTGTGATATATCAGCTAAATGAGGTTGGCAAAGGTTTTGGTCAAACTGTGTGGAAGTATTTTCCAAATCACTTCACGGTTGTCACTATTGAAGGCCTATTCAGAAGCATAAGTTTGATTGTCATTTTAATGTTCTGTTCGATGGTGATGCGTAGTTGTTTGCTCTTCTTGAATCCTGCTTTTTCCGAGTGGTGTTTTCACCTGGAGGCAGGCATGACCTGATATATTGCTTGGTGTGAACAAAAGCGTGGTTCCCCACCGGTTCTTCCAAGGGCCTGCGTCCACATTCATTGATAGTTTAAAAAACAGTAGGTACCTTTCTTTCTAGTCCATCTGCATTACTGAGCTGGGAATATCCACCGAGCTCTCTGGATCCGTTTTCAGTGCTTCATGTGGGATTCTATCCGGTTTCGCTACCTTCCGGACTTTCAGTAGCTTGATTTAATTCAAGCTCTCTACTTTTGTTGTAGGACTGATGTCCACCGGTTCAACTGTGGTGGTGTTTCTAGTCAATTTGAGACTGATGGTCGGTCCAGGAGTCCTTCATAGTCATTGGAATACTACTTATCTTACTTCTGTTCGACAATGAGGTTCCCTTCAGTATCTCACATCAGTTTCGTCCATGCTGATCTCTTCCTGAATAGTGACCTGGTTATCTGATTTGTTGTTCAGGCTGCCGTTTTCCTGCAGGCTGTACTGCTTCAGATAACAGCGCAAAATTGTCTGTTGCCAATCCCAGCACTCTTTTACACTTCTTTATTAAGTGCGATGTGGAAGAACTCAACTCACCCTTCCGCTTTTCATTTTCGCACTAGTTTATTTACCTCTCCTTCCATATTTTATAAGTTTATTTCATATAACTGGGTGCATATTTACGCCTCTCCTCGACTTTTTTTGCAGCGTCTCCATTTTCTCGTTATGGAAATAATGTCTCTCTCGTTTTCAGTGTATTCATCGGTTGAAACCCATGTTCCTTTGAGGATGTTGATGTGTTCACACAATCATCTAGTGATTAGAGGCTCAGAAATTTAAGAATAGTTTTCCTTTCTCATTCATTTTACCAAGAGCCTCTTCAATATCATTATCAGCAGATTCCAAGTTCTTCATCTCTCGCTTAGATTTAAACGAGTTTCGTAGGCTCGCCATATTCTGGAATAGAACAGCGTAAACCATAATAAATATATCAAGCACGCTGGATAAGACGTGAAAAGCAGAACACAGACTCGGGTCGAAACTTTATATAATTACCAACCGAATCAATAGCAGAAGTCAAAGATATGTATACAAAAGAGCTAGGCTAACTGTTCAGCAACCACCGGGTTTCGAATTGACGCCTCCTTTTGAATTTGAACCACTGCCAGACCCCCTTGCTTCCCAAAAGCTGTCCCAAGCGACTTCATTCTTGCGTTCTCCCCGCCCGGCATCATCTTTGCAAGAGAAAGAGGTAAATGGTTATCAAAATAAAAGTAAGTTTTCCTCGGTGCCCGTCTGCTTGGTCTGGACGGTTTCAGGCGGTTGAAGTGCACTATCATTTTCTGAGGATTGTTGTTGTCTTCTTGGATTTCGTAGGTATTGTCAGTTACTCTGCGGTACACCACATATGGGCTTGCCCACTGTGCTTGGGCTTTATGTCGAATCCAGTTGTCAGTCGCTGGTTGACGCAGCCGCAATTTATCACCTATCTTGAATGTTGTTCCCCACTGCTTCTTATCGTAGTAGTGTTTCTGTCTCTTTGTGTTCTCTGGGTTTCTTGGCGTGCATAGTTATGATACCTGGCTATGTCTCTTCGCAACCTGATTATCATCTCCGATGTAGTTAGTGGATCATCCCACCGGGGTATAACCAATGTATCACTAGTCAGATGCAACTCGCGGCCAGTCCATAACAGGTGTGGTGTCTTTCCCGTAGACATGTGGGTGGTTCCTCGGTAGGCCAACAAGCATCTCGCTAACATGATGTCCCAGTCTGATTGTGATTCTCCTTCTAAGAAAACGCGTAGTAATTATTTAAGGTTCGTTTGATGAGCTCGACTAACACATTGTCTTCGTGATGGAACGTTGTGGTTCGTAACTTTTTAATTCCAAATAGATGTCACGATTCTCCAACCAAGATACTTTCGAAGTTGGTTGCTTGATCAGAATGCAGTTGCTCTAGTGCGCCCCAACGGGCAATCCAACAATCAAATATAGCTTTGGTTACTGTAGAGGCACCAATTCGCTGAAGCGGTACAGCTTCACATCATTTCGTAAAATAATCCACCATGATAAAGATATACTTCTTCCCAAGTGTGGCCTCACGCAAAGGTCCGATGATGTCTACGCCAATTACTTCGTTGGGATATCCAGCCTTCACATTAGAGAGTGGCTCCCTGGGTTTCCTCAGTGGGTTCTCCACTTTGCCACATGTTACACACCCCTGGGCGAAGTCTCGGACGTCGCGCCGTTGGCGAGGCCACCAGTAACGTTCAGTAACTGCTTGCAGCATCTTATCAATCCCAGCGTTTCCCAAGTCACAATGTACATTCTCCATGATTGCTGTTACGAACGACTGAGGGACTAAAACTCTTCTCAAGTAGTTGAGGCAAGGTTGAACACACAGGATACTATTCACGAGCACTTACTGGTCCCATAAGGCCCACAAACATCTGGCATCCCAACTCTTCGTTTTCACATCAGCCTCAACTGGCCTACCAGTCTGATTGCACAAGGCATGATATAGGAGTGCATTCTCATCGTCTGTAGCTTGAATATGTGACTGGCCAACCAAATAGCACGAATATCAATACTCTCGCAAGACGGGCAGTCTCCGTGCGGTCAGAAATAGCGTCTGGATAACGCATCAGCATTGGCATAGCGCTTGCCAGGACAGTGTACACATTCAAAGTCATACTCCTGAAGGTATTCCTGCCATCTTGCTGTTTGTCTTTCAGGGTCCTTGAAGTTTTGCAACCACTGAAGAACCTTGTGACCAGTCTGCAGAACAAACGGTTTATCAAGTAGATAGGGTCGATATTTACAAACGAGTGTAACAATGGCCAAAATTTCTTTGCGGGTGATGCAGTATTTCTTTTCTGCACAGCTCAATGTGCGGCTGGGGCGATTATATGTCATATCCCCTATTTGAAGTGGCGCCTCCAGATTTAACTTGACGGCATTTGCGAGGCTTAGTTGATTCGAGTTGGAGC